GGTATGGGCCCTGTGCCAGGTATACCTGTGTTCTCTGTTTTTCCACAGTCATTCTAGGAGAGCTCAGCACAACGATTCTTCTGCTCTACCATCTTCCTCTTCATTGCAATTTTCTTAGGGATTGAATTGAATCTGTACATCACTTTGGGTAGTATAGGCATTTTTGATATCAAATGGCTGAGGGAATAAAAACAAAGAACCAACTATATACTGTCTACATGAGATTCCCTTTACCTTTAAGGACACACGTTTATACTCTTAAGGACTGGACTAGAAGTGAAGAGATGGAAAAAGATAATTCATAAAAATCAAATCCAAAAGGAAAACAGGAATGGTTATATCAGACAAAATAGTATGTCAAAAACTATGGGAAAGGACATGGAAGCTCATTATATAATGATAAAGAAGTCAATTCATCAAGAAATTTTAATAGTTGTAAATATATATCTACCTAGCATTAAAGGCCTAAAGATAGAAAGGAAATATAGATCTAAAGGCAAGGAAGACTGTAATGCAATATAGTAGGATACTTCAGTATTCTACTTGAATGTACATTGGACAGATCATCTAGATAGAAAATCAATAAGGAAACATTGTATTTGAACCAAACTTCAGATTAATTGGACCTGATAGATATTAGTAGAACACTTCATAATCAAATGTACATGGAATATTTTCCTGGATAGATAAATATTGTAGTCCACAATATAAGTCTTAACAATTTAGGAAGACTGAAATATCATGATGTATATTTTCTGATCAGTGGGAAGAAACTGGAAATCAATAATGAGGAATCTTGGAGAACTCATAAATATTTGCACATTAAGTAATATGCTCCTGAATAACCAATGGATCAATAGAGAATTATACGAAAGTAAAAGGAAAAAGTATCCTGAGATAAATGAAAATGGAACTACTTGGCGCCTGTGGCTCAAGTGGCTAAGCCACATACTCCTGAGCTGGCAGGTTCGAATCCAGGTTGGACCCACCAAACAATATTGACAGCTGCAACCAAAAAATAGCTGGGTGTTGCGACAGGTGCCTGTGGTCACAGCTACTTGGGAGGCAGATGCAGGAGAATCGCTTGAGCCCAGGAGTTGGAGATTGTTGTGAGTTGTGATGCCACTGCAGTCTTTCCAGGGTGTCGGCTTGAGGCTCTGTCTCAGGAAAAAAAAAGATATGGGCGGCACCTGTGGCTCAAAGGAGTAGGGTACCGGCTCCATATACTGGAAGTGATAGGTTTAAACCCAGCTCCTGCCAAAAAAAAAAAACAAAAAGAAAAAAGAAAGCTGCAAAGAAATAAAGAAAAGAAAAGAAAATGGAACCACAACATGCCAAAACTTATGGCATGCAGCAAACAGCATTCCTGAGAGGGAAGTTTGTGGCAATACTCCATCAAAAGAAAGATAAATCTTGAACAATCTAATATTATGCCTTAAGAAACTATAAAAAAGATGAACAAAGCAGAAGGAAGGAAATAACAAAGATTAGAGCATATAAATAAATAATATAGAGACCTGAAAAACAATGTAAAATATCAATGAATTTAAAAGTTGTGTGTTTTTTTTTTTTAATAAAATCAACAAAATTTTAGCTGGACTCCAAACACAAAAGATTCAAAAAGCATAGGTGAAAGAGGAAATATAACTGTACCATGAACATACAAAAAGATCACAAGAGACTAGTATGAATATCTATAGTCCCAATAAATTGGGCACCCTAGAAGTAATGGATAATTTTTAGAAATATGCAACCTGCCATTATGGAATCAAGAAGAAATAGAAAATGTGAACAGACCAATAACATGTAATGAGATTGAATCAGTAATGCATTTCCCATCAAAAAAGCTGAATTCTACCAAACAATTTAAAGCAGAACTAATACTAGTTCTTATAAAACTCTTTCAAAAAAATTGAAGAGGAGGGAATACCTTCATACTCATTTTATGAGGTTAACATCACCCAATATCAAAGCCAGACATGTTTACTATAAGAAAATAACACTATAGAGTGGGAAGGGAGGGGGAGTTAGCAGAGGGAGGGTAAAGGGCAGGATCACACTTGTGGAGTATATGACAAGAGTATGGGTTGAATCTGTGAACTGTAGAACATAGATGTTTTGACACAGTGATCAAGTAAATGAGGTGAAAGCTATGTTGATTAGTTTAATGTAATCATGTCAGATTGTATAAAAAAATCAAAATCAGCACATTGTATCCCACATATGCATGAATGTATTCATGATCCATGTGTATTTTACGTAATAAAAAAATTAAAAGAAAATAACACTATAGGCCAATATCCATATTGAAAATAGATGTAGAAATTCTTGGAGGAAATAGTAGAAAACCAAATTTTAAACCACATTGAGGCTTGGCACCATTTTCCATTCCTGGTGGTAGCCTGTCTTCTTGGAGATGCTGATGCTCTTAATAAATCTCTGCAATTAGCTCTAAAATAAAATTAAAAAAAAACACATTGAAAAGATCATTCACTGTGACCAAGTGGGATTTATCACTGTGACAGAAGGACATCTTAATATATGTAACTCAATAAATGTGATGTGCCATATTAACATCACGAAGGACAAAAAACACATGATCATCTCAATTGATGTAGAAAAGAAATGATTTGACAAAATTCAATATCTGTTTATAATGAAAACTCTCAACAAAATAAGTATAGAAAGAATGTACCTCCATACAATAAAGGTCACATATGACAAGTAGCTTATTCAATGGTGAAAAGTTGAAAGCTTTTCCTCTAGGATTAGGAACAAGATAAGGATGATCACTTTTGCTACTTTCATTCAACATAGAACTAAAAGTCCTAGCCAGAGAAAAATTAGGCTAAATAAATAAATAATAGATATTAAATGTACCCATACAGAAATGAAAGAAGTGAAGGTGTCTTGTTTTCTGTTGACATAATGTTACACATGAAAAATCCTAAAACTGCACACACAAAAAATAAAACTGTAAGAACTGATAAACTCAGTCAAGTTGCAGGTTAAAAAAAAACATTTGAAAATCAGTATTGTTTCTATACATTAACAATGAACTATCCAAGGAAATCAAGAAAACAATTCCATTTATAACAGCAACATAAAGTACTTATGAGTAAATTTAACCAAGGAGAGACCTAAGCTCTGTATTATTAACACTGTAAAATATTAAAAATTGAAGAAGAAATAAATGGGAAGTAATTCATGTTCAAGGTTTTGCTCTTTGTCTTTCTATCTCCTTTGGCTCCCCTTCTCAAAATTGCTTTTCTGTTTTTCAACTATGGCAGTTTTATTGTCCCCCCTGGGGTACACTTGGCAGTGTACACTCCAAGAATATCTGAAGATATTTTTGTTCATCAGAACTTAGGGCTAGGGGGTTACAACTAGTATCTTATGGGTAGAGGCCAGGGACACTATTAAGCATAAATATTCTACAAAGGATAGACAGCTTCCAATAATGAAGAATTACGCATCTCAAAGAATCAATAGTTTATGATTGAGAAATCCTGCCTTAAAGTAGCATTAGCATTTTTTTTCCTTCCATCTACCTGTAATGTATGAATAGAACAAAGCCAAGCTGAAGTAATAGTTGATTAGTTAAAGGAACTTAGAAAAAGAAAAATGTTTGATTGGAGAAGGCATATTACTAATTTCCCTAAGTTAGGATACCTAGTATTCCAGTTTTAGAGTTGTGTAGTTTTCTTGTGGTTGAGTTGGGGAGTAGTTGCCAAAAGAAATCCTCTTGCCTGGTACTAATGGTAATGCATTTTTTATCATTATGTACTCAACATCTTGCAGTTTTACATGAATATTAATATTTCTAATGTATTCTTCTTAATTGCTTTCACTGTAATTTCACTGATTTTGGTAGCCATCCATCAGTTTTTGTCATTTTGTCAATTTAAAATGGCCAATAGGTCTACAATTGGCTGAACAGAAAGACTATATTGCTCTTAAGATTGTGAGATATTGAATAGTTGACTATTGTTGATTGTGGCATGATTCTAATTGTACTTATCTAGCTAGCACTGAATTCTTGTCTTAATTTTGCCTTGCTTAAACATAAAGCTGTTAGTACTTGTGCTATATTATTAATGCAGTGTGTCAAATGCCAACTTGCCTCAAAGTGACTTTGAAGTTACAGGGATCTGGTGTTTTGCTTTTTTGCTTAAAAACACAATATGGGGTATTAAGTGTTTTCAGTTTATAAGGGAAGAAGAAGAATTTCGCAGAGCAAGTAGGAGGATCCAGCTCTCTTTTTTAGAAGTGCTCTTAATCCAGGTGTTATTTAGAAGAGAATTGCGTAGAATTATACGTTATTGTGGATATTTTTTTAAGGAAAGTAAGAATAAAGCAAAGTCAACAAGAAAAAAAAATAGGATCTAAAATAACCTGACAGGACATCAAGTTTCAAAAGTTCATTGCTAACTAAGAATAGGGCCTCTAAAAAGAGGAGAACCCATAGACAAATCTAGATTGTTTACTACTTCTAACTTACGTAGTGCCATAGCTTTCCTTATCTTTTCACTGTGTAGGTCTCTTGTATTACTCTTGAAGTTTTAGGGGAAGTCATAGAGGGTAGATAAGTGTGAGGAGGAAGTATAGGAGTTTGTATAATTTGTTTTTAAATATATATATTTAAACTTCCTATTCTAAAATTTCTTCATGCTATGGAAAGATTCACCTATATATTTAAAGTGACAGTGTCTTTGACTATAGTATAAAAGGCAAAATGGAAATGTACTTGAGAAACCACAGTATGCCAAACAGAATATCAGACCCCTGGGATGTAACTGAAGAGTATTCTTTGTGCTTTTTTGTAGTCAACTTGAGTTCATAAAATTGTGAAATGTAAAAGAGGATTTATGCTTTTTATAGGGCAAAATTGCTGCAGTGTTTGTACTTTGTTTTGTCTCATATTAATATTCATGACTTAATTTCATGAAGTAGGTTTCACTTTTAGATTTTGAAAAGTGAATCTCTTCTATTGTTTTCAGTGAATATCACCTCTGCCAGGCAATTAACTGGATGTAGTCGCTTCAGCCATATTTTCCCATCATCTGCTTATCAGCACATTAAGATGCATAAGCGAATTCTGGGGCATTTGTCATCTGTCTACTGTGTAGCATTTGACCGAAGTGGGAGAAGAATTTTTACAGTAAGTTTAAAATTTATGATGGGGCAACACTATAAATACAACAATTGAAGCTAGACTTCATGACACTGCATTATGCTTTGTAATGGACATGAATGCAAAAATAGATGAATGGAAATGGAAAGTCTTTTTTCATTTTATGTAATTAAATGGGTACAATAATATCTATTATATGTGGGGAAATTTACTTAACAAATAAACCTTCAGATGGCCTTATATTCTAGAGGCAGTTAATTTATGAAACAAGTGTACTCAATTACATTTCATTCCATTTTAGCAAACTTTTTAAAATTTTTATTTATTGTTTTTAGATACAGGTCTCATTCTATTGCCCAGGCTAGAGTGCAGTGGCAGGATCACAGGTCACTGCAACCTCAAATACTGGGGCTGAGGTTATCTTCCATCTCAGCTTCCTGAGTAACTGGGGCTTCAGACACAGGCCACCAGGCCTAGCTAACTTTTTTATTATTTATAGAGTCAGGTCCTCGCTATATTGTCTAGGCTGGTTTTGAACTCCTGGACTCAAGAAATTCTCCCTCCTTAGTCTCCTAAAGTTCTTGGAATGCAGGTGTGAGTCATTGTGTCCAGGAGCAAATGTTTACTAAAGTGTACTTTCCTTGTGTCATTTAGTGTAATTACTGTTAGTTTTGTTTAATTAGTGATTACATCACCCTTATGATTAAATAGTTAAATTACATAATTAGTAATGAAGATAATACTTATTTTATATATCTTTCTCTGATTATGGTGTTGATTATTTTTAAAATTGGGTTTTTATTATTCAGATCATCCTGTATGCTTTTGAGTACACAATTGTTGGACACTATTATTTCCAAGAAAGGGATTATTTACTTAGTCTCATTACTTCAGTACTAAGTTAACATAGAAGTGTGGGTAACAGCATGATTTTTCTATATTTGTATGGTATAACAAAGGAAATGAAGTTATGACTCTTTAGAATTTGTTACTGACATCACCGATGGCATTATGACTCTAAATGTGATACCTGTGTATTTGGATGTTAATGATCATGATGCGGATGTTAATTATCTGAATGCCATCTTTTAATAAACAGATAATTATTAAATAACGTATTTACCACATTGAAATAGAATTACTTTTTAGTATTTTTAAAGTTCTTTTGAAATTTTCAATAGGAAGTTCAACATAATTTTTATCACAGGCTATTTTTGACAGCCTGCTTCCTGTTTACTGAGAAAGGCATGTAGATTTTAGGTGAAATTTTTAGTAGAAAAAAATTATTTAGGTTAAGTATTAGTAGAAAAAATTATTTAAGTAATTAAGAAAAAAAAAGCTATCAGGCCTAAGGAAATAAATAATGGTGGAAGTAATGCTAAATCACTTAAAAGTTATTTTAAAATATTTTGTTTTAATAGGATTGGTAGTAGTTTTGAGTTCTTCAAAAATGCTATTGTCAATTTGAACAATGCATTATTAGTACTATCATTTGTATATTGTTTATACTTAGCTACCGAATTTGTATGATATTAAAAAGGATATACTAAAAGTAAAGGCTTAGAAGTAATTTAATAAAATCCTCTCTTTGTCTTTTTGGCCATTTTTATGGGAGATAGTTAATTTCTCCTTCATTATAGATTTTTTGTCGTTTTGTATTTCTATAGGGTTCAGATGACTGTTTGGTAAAAATTTGGGCTACAGATGATGGACGCCTCCTTGCTACACTTCGAGGACACTCTGCTGAAATTTCGGACATGGCTGTTAACTATGAAAACACTCTTATTGCTGCAGGCAGCTGTGATAAAGTTGTAAGAGTATGGTGTCTTCGAACTTGTGCACCAGTTGCAGTCCTTCAGGGACATTCAGCTTCTATTACTTCCATACAGGTAAGCAAGATTATAAGATAGCTCTAACATGCAATAAAGGTGACAATCTTTCATCTTTTGTTACACTGTATGGATGATAGCATAAAGAATGGCAACAGAAAAAATATTATAAATTAAAGACTTTGCTCCTACTTTGCAGATAGGTATTTTTAAAGTTCCCTTTTCATATAATTCCCTTTAGAAATAAGTAGAAAGGTGATTGAAAAAGTCCCTTAAATGCAATATAAGAGAACTTACTTATCTCACTTATATTCGTGGAGATGGGAGAATACTTGTGAATCCCTTAAGAGCACACTAGTTTGCTTGTTAGCCAGGAATTATAAACAGGTTCTAACCTGAGTATTGACATACTTTAATATTTAACACATGTAAGATGTTAATCAGACAGATTTAGTATGTGTTTGTCTATGTATAGGGAAATTTATATTCTTAGTTTCAACAATTTATTTCAATTTGATGTTTAAAATAAAATAAATTGGCTTATTTTAAATATGTGTTCATATAGTGTTTTTGTTAGATGTTAGTAGTGAAAGTCCTGGATACCCTCAAAGACCTTTTCGTTAATAAAACTAAGCCAAATTTTTATCCTTTTTGTGTTGAGAGCAAAACAAAGGAATCTTGAAACTTTTATACTTTTAGAAGAGATTATTATTCCCCTTTATTTTTCTTTGCTCTTTTGTCGCTAATAAATAAGTACACCATAGCTCAGTGGTTAGGATACCGGCCACATACGCCGGGGCTGGCAGGTTCAAACCTGGCCAGGGCCTGCTAAACAATAATGACAACTACAACAAAAAATAGCCAGGTGTTGTGGTAGGCATCTGTTGTCCCAGCTACTTGGAAGGCTGAGGCAAAAGAATTGCTTAAGCCCAAGAGCTTGAAGTTGCTGTGAGCTGTGACGCCATGGCACTCTACCAAGGGTGACATAGTGAGACTCTGTCTCAAAAAAAAAAAAAATAAGTACACTATTTTTGTGTTTGTTATTTAAATAACATATCATCTATTTATGAGGAACTAGCAAGAATTGGTTTCAATGTGTATTAAATTTGAATATTTTCGTGTCAGAAATTTTAATCAGTTAAAATTATTTGATGGATTTTGATTTGGAAGATTATCAGTTAGTTATTTGTATTTTTACTAGAATACCTGACTGATTAATTCTAGAATTTGGAGATGTTCTCACATAGCATTAAAAAACAAATATTTGATTGTAGTAGCACCCCTTCCCTTATCTACAGTTTTACTTTTTTGTGGTTTAAATTACCCATGGTCAGCCATGGCTTGGAATATGGGTGAGTATAGTACAAAAGGTTATTTTGAGAGAGACCACATAACTTTTATTATAGTTTATTGTTGTAAGTGTTATATTTTATTAATAGTTATTGTTTATTAATCTCTTACTGTGGCTAATATTAAACTTTACCATAGATACGTAGGTATAAGGAAAACAAAGATACAGTAGAGCATCTGTAAATAAATCACCCAAGGAAGTGTAACAAACTTGTCAACAGATGGACCTGGTCCACATAAAGAACTAGGCCTATTGTACTGATAACATACATGTGGTGCATGTCCATTCTATAAAAATTAGGCCAACTTATGGAAGTTGTCAACTATGGAGGTTCTACTATATATATAGGTCTTAGTACTATCTGAGATCTCAGGCATCCACATCTTGGAATGTAGTCCCTGTGGGTAAGGAAGAACAATTAACAATTGTATACTGAAAAATGTATCTGATACTGTTTGGTTTGTTTTCATGGCATGTGCTTTTTTTTTCTCATTTTATTTACATGTTGGATCGCTCTAGAGATCCATGGACCTCTTCTCTATCATATTCTTTCTCTTAGTAACCTCATGGCTTTGAATTTCATCTGTAGACTATGAAGACTTTCAAACGTATATCCTTATCTTTGACCTACCCTTTAACTTCTTGCTTGTTTATTCAAATGCCTACTTGTCATCATTACATTGATGTTTATTAGACATCACAAATAATATATATTCAAAATTGAACGCATTTTCCTTCCTCAGAACTAGTCTTCCTAAACCTTTTCCATCTAAATAAATGGCAATGTCATGCTTTCAATTGCTCAAGATAGTAATCTTTAACTTTATCTTATCTTTCTTTCTTTTACACTCCATATATTACTTGTTAACAAATCATGTTGGCTCTACCCTCAAAATATACCCAGAATTTGACACATTCTCATGACTTCCCTGATTACTATCCTGTTTTAAGCAACTATCATCTATGTTCTGTGTGTTACTGAAATAAACTTCTACCTGATCTTCCTGCTTTTTCCATTCCCTTTTCCCTGCCCCAGTTTATCCTCTGCACAGCAGGCAGAGTGATTTTAATATGCAAATTAAATTATGTCATTGGTGCTCAGAACTTTTGATAGCTTCCAGTAACAGAGTTAAAGTCTTTACAGGGACCAACAAGGTCATGCATTCTTAGCTACCTTGTTCTCTTTGACCTCATACCATACTATTTATTTCCTTTTCTTACTCTACTTTATCTCCTAGCCTCTTTGCTTTTCTTAAACACTCTAGAAACATTCCTGCTTTTGTTTTTACTATTTCCTGATCTTTTCTGGATATTGTATAGTTTGCTTTGTTACTTTCTAGTGTTAGAAGCAGATGTCACCTTCTAAGGGAGGTCTCCTCTGACCACCTTACCACTCTGTTTAAAATGTAACCTCCCCAGTCCACACAGTTGTGTATCTTCCCTTCTTTGCTTCATTTTTGTCAATAGTAATGATCACCATTTGGCAGTCTATACTCTTTCTTTTTTATTTGTATATTATTTGCTAATATCTGTTAACCACTTTCTTTTTTAAAAAACAAAATTGAGATAAAATGGTATGATGTTAATGAGGTTACTGCTGAATGGTAGAATTATAATAAGTTTTCTTTTTTAATATTTCCTAAATTTCTACAATAGTTGTGTATTAATTGGCATGTCAGAAATAGACAAATAAATTATTTTAAAACAATCTCTAACATGATATTTCATTCAAAAAACAATCCAGTTAATGCACATTAATGGGCTAGATCACCCTTTGTGGTTGATGAAGCAATTTACAATTTAAATACAGTGGGGTAAAGGTTTCAAAGTTTCCTCAAACTTAATTAAGTTATACTATTTCATTTTTAATTGTCTTATTCTCACATATCAGAGGTCAGCAAATTTATAGGCTAGATAATAAATATTTAGGCTTTACTGGCTATACAGTCTCTGTCACAGCTACTCAACTCTGCTCTTTTAACACAAAAGGAGCTTTAGACAAGTGCAATGTGACTGTGTCCCAGGAGAACTTTATCTGCAGAAACTGGCAGCAAGTTGGATTTGATGTATGGAGTATAATTTGTAAATTTTTGCTATAGAGTGTGGACTAAACTTTCTAAGGCCACGTTCTTTATCTCAGAAATGAAAATACAGTCAGCCCTTCATGTTCAGGGTAAGGGGGCTGCATTTCTGGATCCAACCAACTGTGGATTAAAAATATTAGCAAAAGAAAATCTCTGTACTGAACATGTACAAACATATTTTTCTTGTCATTCCCAAAGCATTATAAAGTAACAACTATTTACATAATATTTATATTGTATTAGGTAGTATAAGTAATCTAGAGATAATTTAAAGTATACAGGAAGGTGTGCATGCATTATATACAAATACTACACCATTTTATTTCAGGGACTTAAGTATCCATGGATTTTGTTATCTGCGAGAGGTCATGGAACCAATCTTCTAAGGATACTGAGGCACTGCTCTATAGGCATGCTGAATCCTGGTTTCTTCACTATATATCAATTATTAATTTATAATGTTAACTGATAATTTTTATTTGAATTAAACTCTAGTCTTTAAAGGTTCTATGCTTCCAAACAAGGAAACAAAGTTAGAGACTTCTAATATCTATGATGATGATTTACTTTTGATTTGCAGTCAAAATGTATTCCAATCCTATACATCTTGATTCTTAATTATCACCTCAATGGAAGTTGTTCATTATCTCCATTTGGGATTTTAAAAGTTCACAGGCATGTTAGAGACTTTTTTCTGATTTTCAGCTTCTTCCCATGTCTTTCCATGTTAGCTTTCCCTTTCTTTGTGATTCTCTTCTAAGGATGTGTTAGAATACTGAGAGTAAGAGTCTGAGAAGGCTGCATGATAAAAAGCCATGGTCCATCTGGTGTAATAGTAGTCCCTTAAATTGGCCACTTATGTATATATTTTTTCTAAATCTATTTTTTCCACAGTGATAGGAACAAAGATTTGATCTATTTTACATTGCCCATGAAAACAAAAAAAAATAGCTTAAATTCAAAAAGGATAAAATTTATATACTTTATTGAAGTTGGACTTTAATGTAAAATATTAAAACCCAAATACTCTTAACTATTAACTTCCTAATCATCATTGTGAGATTTATTTCTGATGTTGTATCCATATAGACTATAAAAATTCCACAGTTGTTGAAATTTAGTGCATATTTAATGGTTTAACTAGAAATGTATTTGTGAGTTTATTTTCTATTGGAGGTGATCAAAATTATTTTAAAGGGTATTTTTAAATAATTTTAAAATAATTACTTTTAGGACTAAAATATTTTATCCCATATTCAAATACTATTTTTTCTACAGTTTTTTGATATTTAAATTTTTTTTGAGACTTTTCCAAAGTTTTATTCTTTTTTATTGATATTTAAAATTTTTAATTTCCATTATTCTAGGAAATGTAAATAATCCCTTTAAATTGAAAATCTTCAGGAAATTTATTTAAATTATATATATTAAAGTTATTGTAAGTTTAAAACATGCTGTGTTTGAAGTTAGTTTGCATATGAAAACTTTCTATTTGAATCATATATTTTTTTTAAGTTTTGTCCATCAACAAAAGGCACAACCAGATACCTCACTTCCACTGGTGCTGATGGAACAATCTGTTTCTGGCAATGGCATGTAAAAACAATGAAGTTTAGGTAAGTTTAAAAGCAGTTTAGAAGTCAACCATATTAATTTTTGTTTATTACCTTTATTCTTAATAGTCCATGATTTTACATGTGTATATATATGTAGTAGTAGGTATATATATGCAGATTATATATATTTACATATATATGTAGTAGTATATATATATTTATATATATGTAGTAGTCCATGATTTTATATATATGTGTATATATATATATTTATGTGTGTGTGTGTTTGTACACATATCCATGCCTCTATTCAACTGGTTGTTAAGAGATTTTAGAATAAAATTTTTATGTCAGTGTTGAAGAGGCTATTTAATTCCATGTAGAAAATTTTGGTAAGGCATTTTATTTGTATCCTTTCTTTCATTGGTCAGGAGAGTTTGAACTTCTCATAACGATAGTAGAAGGTAACACAGTAATATGTTTGTAAAGCTATGGTGGTAATATGGATATCATAAAGTATATTTGCAAGGTTAACTACATTTTTTAACCTAAATGATGAGAGTACTGCTTATTGACCACTTCCCTTTAGGTGTTTCTATGATATTAATGCTAAGTTGATGAATAACCAGCAGTATACTAGGATTCTTGCCCATTTGATGAACATGATGAAAAATTAAAAATTATTATTTTTTCTTTAGAGATCGTCCAGTGAAATTTACTGAGAGATCCAGACCTGGAGTTCAGATATCCTGTTCATCTTTCAGTTCTGGTATATATATATATATACATATATATATATCATTTAAGAATATTAAATGATATAGTTTTAAAAATTGATTTTTTAGGTTTTTTTTTTTTGCTGTTGTTGTTGGCCCTCAGTTGAGTGCCATAGTGTCATAGCTCACAATAACCTCAAACTCTTTGGCTCAAGCAATCGTCTTGCCTCAGCCTTCCAAGCTGCTGGGACTGCAGGCACCCACCACAACACTGGCTATGTTTAGAGATGGGGTCTCGCTCTTGCTCAGGATGGTCTTGAGCTCCTGAGCTCAAGGGATCCTCTTGCCTTGGCCTCTTAGAGTGCTAGGATTACATGTGTGAACCACTGTGCCTGGCCTGATTTTTTTTTTTTTTGTGAAGAAAAAATGTATACATTTGAGTCTTAATAGAAACACACCAAAAATATGAACCGTATATTATAATAGAGGAACTTTTTGGATTCTAATTAACATGTAATAGGGATTTTTTTCTTCATGATTTAATATATTTTTATAATGGAGATTTTAGTGAAAAACAGACTACTACTCTAATGTCCACTAACAATGTATAGCATTCCTTACCCAATCAATTCAAAAATAAGGCCCTGACTTTATAGACAATAAGTACTATGGTTTTATATTGAAGACACTATTATAGAATGTAAACAGTGCTTTTTCGATTACTAAGAATTCTATTTTAGTTAACCTTTTATTTTTTTGTCTTTTTTATTTGTGGTGAAACATACTGACAAAATTTTTAAGTGTCTAGAGCTATGGCATTAAGTATATATTCACATTGTTTTCCATCCAGGACTGTTGTCTATCTCTAGAACTTTTTCATCACCTCATTCAACCACTATAGCCACTATAAAGAAAGCTGTAGATATGAGTTGTTTTATAAATAGTTTTGAAACATAATTTTTTTTTTTGAGACAGAGCCTCAAGCTATCCCCTTGAGATAGGGGTGCCCGCCACAATGCCCGGCCATTTTTTTTTTTATTGCAGCCATCATTGTTTGGCGGGCCCAGGCTGGGGATTCGAACCCGCCACCTTAGGTGTATGTGGCTGGCGCCTTAGCCGCTTGAGCCACAGGCACCAAGCCTTGAAACATAATTTTATATAAAATATAAGGAAATGAATTTCTCAAGTTTGTATCGTTTAATGTTTATGATCCAGGGTGGTGCTGGTAGCACAGTGGTTATGGCGCTGACCACATGCACCGAGGGTGGTAGGTTTGAATCCAGCTAAACATCAATGATGATTGCAATAAAAAATAGCCAGGCATTGTGGTGGGTGCCTGTAGTCCCAGCTACTTGGGAGGCTGAGGCAAGAGAAACGCTGAAGTCCAGGAGTTTGAGGTTGCTGTGAGCTGTGATACCATGGCACTCTACCAAGGGTGAAATAGTGAGACTCTGTCTCAAAAAAAAAAAAGGGTTTATGATCTGTAGGTCTGTATTTAGTTCATAGTTGGTAAATTTTGTTGGGTAAATGATACAGTTATCTATATATTTCATTAGCTTTTCTTAAATTTTACTTTTTCTCTGATGTGTTAATGCCTTTGATGGTTAGAATGCAATCTTATTTTCCAGGTGGTATGTTCATCACAACGGGTAGCACTGATCACGTGATTAGATTATATTATTTGGGTTCTGAGATCCCTGAGAAAATTGCTGAATTAGAATCACATACGGTAAGAGCAAAATTGGAAATTTAAATATAGTGCTTTATTTTTTAACACCCTGGAAAATTGGTTTTATTTCTTCTCTTCTGATTTGTACTATACTATAGGATGTTACTAAAACCTGTATGGCAAGGTGTTTCTTTATAATGTGTGAAATCCTGGATTTATAATGGTTGTGGTGTTTATTAGGTGTCCCATTTGACTATACAGAAAAAGAAAAAAATATATAAAAATGAATCAATATTATATATGTATATACTTATGAAATGCATGCACACACTACAGTAATAGTTTGGGAAAACTTTTTAGCCTACTGTATTATTAGTTATATGAACTGCTTCTTACTTGAAATCTACACACTGAATAAAGGCAATAAGTATGTCCTAAAGGAAACAAATATTTTTAGTGAATTTAGTTTGTTGATCTTAGTGTGATTGTTTTCAGAATGCCATTAAAAACTTGTAGAATCTTGTAGAACTCTTGCTGACCTCTTTACTTTTACTTGTTAGATTCTACAAGATTATAGAACAAGATTCTATACTTGTTTTGAGGAACAAGTATATGTTTGGATTTAAAAACCATTGGTGGAAGGTAGCTTTTCAGGAAGCTTAGAGCCCCTGTTGTTTATATCCCTGTGTACCTTCGATGCATCTCTTCCTCTTTCTTTTCTTACTTTCTTCTTTGGATAATTATTTACTGTAGAGTGTGAGAGAATATCTGTTTTAGCTCACTGTATAGTTCATATGCCTCATTGTCAAAGCTATATAATCAGCAATTGAAAGTTTTCAGCTTTGTAGGTCTTAATGCTAACACTACCATTGACATCTCCTTTGTAGTCGAAATGTATGTTAATAAAATACATACAGTTTCCTTGGAAGATAACTCTAACAGAAAGTGCTTTGTGAGTTGAAGAAGCAATTGTTTTCTTGAAATTTATAGTAAAATAGACCCCTGTTAGAAACCTTCTCCTGGAGCTTTTGGAAACTGTCTTGGTTTTTGTCCTAACATAAACACGTAACTGGACGTTCTCCTTATGAGGACTTAATGAATCCTGCTGAGCTTTTACTTTACTGTTACTTATTTCTAGATACTAAAATAGTGGAATGTTATTTAAATTGTGAAAGAGAAAAACTTAAGATATGTTTAAAGATCTCAGTCTAAAACCATTAAGTGGCAGAAATCCATTTATGGTAGAACATGCCAAAGAGACATCTTTGCAGTTACCACCCAAATAGGGTGTGTGTGTATATATGCATTCAGGTTTGTTAAGAGCTGAGTGAAGAGAAAGGAATAAATGAATGAAAAAGAATTGAGGACGGGGAAAAGGCAAATAAAATTGATTTAATGGAGTTATATATGCAGACACATAGTTTAAGAAGAAACATCAGAAAAAGTAAACATTCTCTGTTGGAATCAGTGTCAGCTGGTAGTCACTAAAATATTACTTTAGAACATCCAAAACCAATTATTGCAAATAGTAGTGGAAATCCAGAATAAAATGAAAAATAATTATAAATATTAAGATATTTAATATCAGCTTTTTAAAAATTTAAGTTCAAATGCAATTCAGTAGCTTATTGGTTTCTAAACATGTGTTCTTTTGAAGTGCATTTTAGCTTTACCACCAACAAATAAAGTGAAGGAAATTGCAAACACTGGCTTACACTTAAATCTTTTTATCACTACTATACATACTATATTTATAAAAGTATAGATTAATCATTCTAAAAGAATGTAATTAGCAGTGTCTAATGTATAGTATCTGCAGAATGTCAGATGAATCCATGGTAAAATAATTAAATCATATGGGAAACAGGAAATGATTGCTTTGTTTTCTGAAATCAAACAAGTAGAAAATTTAATCCAACTACTATTAAATCAGTTATTTTAAGGTGGTATCTTAGAATAATGTGTGGTCTTATTACAGCAGATATAGTAAGTTATTAATAGCAATTCCCATTCAGAACTATCTGCCTCTGTAGATATGGTTTATAAGCAGATTTTCTCATGTCTGGTTTGTTTCAGATTACTGCCAATAAGTATTTCTTCTTAGTTAACACATTGTTCCAGCCATTGTTAAATTTTTTAAGGAAATTAGAGGTTTTCTAACTTATAATTAAAAGAGACTACGTCATGGTGCTTTTGCATGTACATTTGAGGGGAAGAAGAGTAGATTATTCATTTTATAAATAAATTCATTTTAACCAAAAATCTGTTGTTTTATATCTTAGGATAAAGTTGTTGCTGTTCAGTTCTGTAACAATGGAGACAGGTAATTACGTAGTACATGTTTACATAAACAGATGTTTGACATGTTTTACTACTGTTCTCTCAGAAGCAGCCACCTCTACTATAGATATCTCATTTTTATCCAGTCACTTAGGTTTTCTCTGATGACATTCTTACTCATCCCTTTCAAATGATCTCATGTAGTAATCATGGTCTACATCAGTTCTTCCTGTCTGAGTGTTTTCTTTTTCATTATTTCTTCTGTCCATTTCTGTTAGTATTTACCTTAGTAAAGGGTTCCATTATTTGACCTACCATCTCTGCCAAATCAACATTATTTGCTCATAAATCTTTAGTGTTTTCTCTTCTCTATCTATGGAATAAAATTTAAATGTTTTAGCTTAGCATTTAGAGCTGTCTGCTGCTTGATTTAGACTTCTATTATTTTCTCATCTACTGTTTTGTCCATATAAATCCAGCCTAATTGATGTACTCATTATTCTTGTCACATCCCATGTATATTATATCACCCATTTCTTTGCTTATACTTTTCCTCACTTCATTCCTAACCAGAAGTGCTATTTCCTACCTCCCTCTAACTTTTTTTTTCTTTCCCTACTTTGTACATCTCCCTTCTCCTCTTCCTCTCTTCTCTCTCTGTTTCCCTTCTTTGTCTCTTCTTAAGTCTAATCTTCCTTTTCAGGTTCCTGCCCTACCTACAGTGTTTTTTAACTACTCCAACTTTTAGCTATCTTGACCACCTCTGAATATATGTATCACTTACTATCTCCTACTACACATGTGATACATAGTTTCTATGTCTGTAAACTTAGAAATCGTATACAGATATCTGTACTCCCTCTACAATATCTGTTCCCAAAAGGGTGATGACATTTTAGTGATGGTTAGAAAGGTCTTGGACTAAAAGTTGACTTGGAATAATAAATTTAAAATTTTAACCAATTACAATAAATTTTTATCCACATGTAGGCTGAGTTTTTCTTTTGCTTGGGACCAGAGTGTTTTGTATTTTGTATTTTTTTCAGATTTTGGAATATTTGCATATACATAATGAGATATCCTGAGTGTGGAACCCAAGTCTGAATCCAAAATTCATTTATGTTTCATATACACCTTATGCACATAGCCTGAAGTTAATTTTATAGAGTATTTTTAAAATAATTTTGTCCATGAAACAAAGTTTTGACTGTGTTTTGACTATGGTCTATCATGTGAATGAGGTATGCTGTAGAATTTTTGACTCATGTTCATCATGTTGGTGCTCAAAAGTTTTCATATTTTGTGCTTTTGATTAAGGATGTTCAACCTTTATGTTTGTAAGAACTTTATGTAGGTGACCATGTTTTATTCTTATTTTGAGGTGATGGATAAGTTTATTTTGATTGTGGTGATGGTTTTATGATTGTATACAATTGTCAAAACTTTTCAAACTGTACACTTTAAATATTATATGTTAATTATACACCAAGAAGTCTGTTAAAAATTAAATTGAAAAATCGAGTTGTTTCCCTTTTTTTTTCCCAGATTATTGTGATGGTACAAACAATTAGGTTACATTGTTTTAAATTTTTAAATAATTATGGGACAATAGGTGATTACAGTGATGAAATTTTTTTATTTTTGTTAAATGTAAGAGTAAATAATGATGGCGTACAAAGAGTGATGTCTATATTAGGGATGACAAAACCTTCAAATAAATTTTAAGATTTGCTTAACTGCACTATACTGAGTTAAATATTAGAAGGTTTGTATAGCTACTATTTCATGTTAGAAGAATCTAAATTTTTAGTTCTTTGCCCTCAGGATAATCTCATTATTTTGTTTTAATCATTTATGTTCAATAAACATATCAGAATATATTTAATTTTACTAATATTCAAATGTAAATTAAAACAACAATTAACTTTTTATCTCTAGATTACAAAATAATAAAAGTGAAAATACCCAATATTGCCAAGGGTGTAGGGATAATAGACATTCTCCTACAACTTTTTATAAGATTTTAAATTGTTAAAAAATTTCAGGGAAACTATTTGATAGTGTGTATTAAAAGATTTGCCAACTTTTTGACTGAGTAAAACAAGTATAAAGTTATACAATGATATATTGTTACAGTGAACACTGGAAACAATATAAATATTGATCATTAAATTGTGATGCATCCATATAGTGGAATACTTATTAAATGCGATGGTAGTTTTATACTTGTAAACATAGAAATATATCTACAAAATATAGTTCTTTTAGGGAAAAACATTATATGAATTATTCTGTTTCCTGCAGCAGGACCTATATAAGTATACACACATATATATGTATTTAATAAATCCTGAAAGAATAAAACCTAAAATGTTAATAGTGAGAGATTTGTGGGTGAATCTATATGTTTAATAACATCATTATTGAGATATATTTTACATAACATGAAATTCAATGGGTTTGAATATGTATATTCATAGGGTTGTTACCTTATAATCATCACAGTCAATTTTAGAATATTTCATCACCCCAGAAAGAAACCCCATACCTTTTAGCTGTCACCCTCAATCATTCTATCCTCCATATCTAGCTCTAGACAACCATTAATCTAATTTTTATCTTTATAGATTTACCTATTCAAGATTCATCCATGCCATAGCATATATCATCTCATTCCTTTTTATTGCTGCATAATCAGTATATGACTATGCCTTATCTTTTATCCATCAGTGAACATTTGAATTGTTTCCACCTTTTGTCTTATGAATGATGCTGCTGCCATGAACATTCATGTACACATTTTTATGTGGATTCACACTTTCATTTCTCTTGGTTGTATACTGGGAATAATACTGCTGGGTCATATTTTGAGGCACTGCAACTGTTTTCCAAAGTAACTTATTATTTTACATTCCCTCCAGTAGTGTATAAGGGTGAACATATTACTTTTATATTCAGAAAAAGATAGCAATTTCTAGTTTGAAGAAAATTAACAGGCTATTTTAATTTTCTTTCCAGTTTACGGTTTGTTAGTGGAAGTAGAGATGGAACAGCAAGAATATGGCAATATCAGCAACAAGAATGGAAGAGTATAGTGCTAGATATGGCTACTAAAATGACTGGGTAAGAATGTGTATTTGATATTTCAGTGGTTCTCTTCTAGTATATTATCTTTCACATTGAATTATATTTAATAATGACCATAAAATATCTTAGTACATTAGTAAGTAGTTTGAAGTTAATTGGTAGATATGAAGTTTATATCTATATTCAGTCTCTAAGTAAATCACCTTTTGTTATTGATTATCAAACTAGATGATAGGGACGTTGCTGACTCATTCAAAATTCTGGTTTTAGGGCTGGGCACAGTGGCTCGTGCAGGTAATCCTAGCACATTGGGAGTCTGAAGTGGGTGGACTGCTTGAGCTCAGGAATTCAAAACCAGCCAGAGAAAAAGCAAGACCCTGTCTCTACTAAAAGTAAAAAAAAAAAGCTGCTTGTTGTGACAGTGCCTGTAGTCCCAGCTACTCAGGAGGCTGAGACAGGAGGATCTATTAAGGCCAAGAGTTGGAGGTTGCTGTGAGCAATGATGATACCAGAATATTCTACCCAGAGTGACAATGTGTCTCAAAAAAAAAAAAAATTATGGTGTATTGTGACCCAAAGATCTGTGTGTCCTACTCATACCCACAGAGTTATTCTATGCCTTAGTTTGTATAGCTCATTTTTTATATCTGTTTATATTACTTTCTTCTTTGAGGGTTATCTCTGTCATCTTAAACATATGGAAAAGTTAAGCATATTTTTTTCTAATTTACTAAGTATACTTTTAAAATATTTCACATTATTAGCATTCCTACTCAATATACATGTACACTTACTTAATCAGCAGTCAGTTTCATCACCCTCACTGTTGACTGAAAGATGCATGATTACCTCTTTGGGACATTATGGTTCCTTTCTTTGGGGTATAGCCCTGAAATACTTAAAGCTATAGTTAAGGATTTTTTTTTTTCATCTAAACAGTTGGATGCTTCTAGAGAAATTTTGTCAAAACTTGCTATTTTACGTGCAAAAATTTATAAGGTATGAATGCTATAAATTGTTTTGTTTAGGAATAATTTGCCATCTGGAGAAGATAAGGTCACTAAACTTAAGGTGACTATGGTGGCATGGGATCGTTATGATACCACAGTTACTACGGCAGTAAACAATTTCCTTTTGAAAGTATGGAATTCTATCACAGGGCAGCTTCTTCATACTTTATCTGTAAGTATTTTATTTTTAGAGTAATTAAAATATTAAAAGTACATTATTCTAGGAAACTTAAGTTCTAATTTTTTCTGTGACTTACTACTAGCCTTTTGTGGAGTAATTATTTGTGGGCCCACTGTTGCAGGTATCTCTGCAAAATGGAGGTGATATAACTGCTAAAGGTATACCTGCTAAAAGCAAGTATGAAATATTTCCAAGATCCTTATAGTCATTTATCTATTATGTTAGAGTATCCAGTCAAGTATCTATAAGTTATTTCATTTTTAGTAGGAGTTGAAATTTTTATTGTTATTATTTTGGGGGAGGAACTTACCTCATATTATAAGGGTATCATATATAATACCTTCAGTGATTAGTTTATACAACAAATAGAGGTACCATGATTCCCTGAAAATAAGATACTGTCTCATATTTCTTTTTTCCAAGAAGACATACCAGGGCTTATTTTCAGGGGATGTCTTCCCTCTCTGAGCTGAAATGTATGGCATAACTATGCTGCATATCTTCATAGCCATGCCCATCACCAGGTCTTATTATTGGGGTAGGGCTTATATTAACAAATGCATAGAAATTCTGCTAGGGCTTATTTTTTGGGTACGTCTTGTTTTCGAGGAAACACGGTAAGAGAAAGAAGTAGGATTATAAAGCACCTTTTTTCTCATTAAAAATATATTTGTCATAATAAAAGGCTGCAACATTTGTGGTATGAAAACTTGATAGGGAAATTTCATGGGTAGAATTGATATTTGTAAGTTTATTGTAATATTGGTTGACTTCAGGTTAAATTCACTTTAAAAGCCTTATTTCTTTTCTGGTAAAACTATCAATTCATAATAATTTTAAGAAGAGAAGGCCAAGGGATTGCCATATGATTTATATAGTAGTGAGTATTAGGGTTCAGATAAGAAATAAATTCTTGTGACTCAACTCAGCGTTCATTTGTAATATACCATACCATCATCCTTACTTGACTACTTCCTATGTGAAATAATCTTAGTCTAATGCAGCTGAGGTTTCTAAAGTTTTGTTTGATTTGGGGAGGATTTCCAGTTTATCTTTCATATACCTCCCAAGTCTTCTGTATTTTAATACATATTAATATAAAAATTATTAATTAAATATTTTGGTTTTTTTCATAGTACATCCTTGAAATCCAGTATGTATCTTACCCTTACTGAGCATCCCAGTTCTTTTTAGTTACACTTCAAATGTTTAATAGCCACATGTGGCTATCAACTACAATATTAGACAATATAATTCTGTAACTCTTTAATTACAATTTGAAAAGCCTTCTTGTAGCTCCTAGTTTTATAGATCCATGTAAAATTCTGTCTTAATAAATACCTTAGTTTACAGTCCTGTTCAGTGGCACTCTTCCTGTGGATTGACTCACAGGTCATCTGTGAATTTTACTGAAGGAATTTTAGGACAGACTGTGTTAAGTCCTTGCAAAAGTCAAGTTTACTCAGTTTGGGTACAGGACTTATATTTTAGTTTTAATGATTTAGAACAATGATTTGGGTCTTTAAGTGTAAAGTTCTATTCAGCAAATGCTTTTTGAACACAAACTATGTGCCAGACACTAAGTATTAGAAATAAATGGTAAATTAAACAGAGCCCTATCATACTGGAGTTGACAGCCTATTAAGAGAGAAGAAATTTATTTAGATAAGTCTAAGAAAGAAAAGGACAAGATAGAATGCAAGTTTCTAATAAGGTAACCAGATCTAATCTGGTAAAATTAGAGAAAGCTTCCTAAGGAAGTGAACTTCGGGTTAAGTTTTGAAATGTAAGTAGGAATTACTCAGCTTAAATGTCACCTCCTTGATTAGGTCTTCTCTAATCAAACAATCCAACATACCCTCTCAGTATTAGTCTTATTACATAACTTTGATTTATTTTCATGAATGTTTATTATTACTTGATATTTTATTTCTTTTCTTTTCTTTTTCTTTTTTTTAGAGACAAGAGTTTTACTTTGTTGCCCTCAGTAGAGTGCTCTGGAATCACAGCTCACAGCAACCTACAGCTCTTGGGCTTAGGCAATTCTCTTGCCTCAGCCTCCTGAATAGCTGGGACCACAGGTGCCCTCCATAACACCTGGCTATTTTTTGTTGCAGTTTGGTTGGGGCTGGGTTTGAATCCGCCACCCTCAATATATGGGGCTGGCACCCTACTCACTGAGCCACAGGCACCTCCTATTTATTGTCTTTATTCTTTTTATTTTTTTAAATTTTGAGACTGGGTCTCACTTTGTTGCTCAAGGTAGGGTACGGTGGCATCATCATAGCTCACTGCTGCCTCAACTCCTGGGCTCAAATCATTTTCCTGTCTCAGCCTCCCGAATGGCTGGAAACTACAGGCATATGATATCATGCCTAGCTATTTTTTAAATTTTTTGTAGAGGTGGGATCTCACTGATGGCCAGATGGTCTGGAATTCTTAGCCTTAAGCAATCCTCCTGCCTTAGTATTCCAAAGTGCTGAGATTACAGGTGTGAGCCACCGTGCCTGCCCTTTACCTGATATTTTCTTGTTTCTTTCCTCATACATGGTATGTGGGAGTCAACATGTATTTGGTAAATCACATATGGGAGGAGGTTAGGAAGAGGGAGCAGCATATGCAAAGGTCCTGAGGTGAATGAGAGCTGAAAAAAAGCCAATTTGGTTAGAGCACAGAGAACAGAAACAGTCTCACCAGATTAAGACAAGAAAAGGAGAGAGCGACCAGACCATTTAGGATCTTGCAGGATTTATTCTAATGCAAGTAGGAAACCATTAAAGACTTAAAGCAAAGTAATGACATGTGAGTTTTACTTTTGAAAGTACCTTATAATTCTAATTCTGATCATAGTACAGGAAATAGATTGGAATGAGGTAAGAGTGACTTCAGATAGACTGTAGAGTCTATGATGGTAGCCAGAAGGATAATTTAGACTTGAGTAGTGGTGGTGAAAATAGGAGAGTGCTTAATAAATCTATTTTATGACATGATATATGTTAAGACATCACTAATTTTGATTAGATTTTGTTCCCCATGATAAAATGACTATACCCTATCTTAAGGCATGTGACGAAAAAATTAAAATCCCCAGTGTACACTGAAGTATTTGTGTTGCTATCATTTGAGTTTGACAAAGTAGAAGATAGGGCAGTGCCTATGGCTCAAAGGAGTAAGGCATTGGCCCCATATGCTGGAGATGGTCCGTTCAAACCCAGCTCCGGCCAAAGGGAAAAAAAACCCAAAAACATAGTAGAAGATATTTGCTATACCAAATTGATTATTGAGCAAGGGATTTTCTTATATCAAAGAAAGAACCTTTCAGTAATCACTGAGGAGTTTAGGTAAACTTTATTTGCAATTATATTTATTGTAATGGGGTTTTACCTACTCAACTGTACATTCTGAACCTGTCTCCAGTTACTTATTAATAAGCTATGCATGTGGTTGTCCCTAATGGAAGTATTATAGGATACTCTATTGTTCTAAATTTTATACCATGATTTGGGATAAAATGGCACTTTTGAGGTTCACAGTGTATGGTTATTTTTAGAAGCTCCTGATATGTAATTTGCAGGTGTGTTCCTAAGTGAAATGCAGCTTGAGGATGTTCTCTGTATTTTTCTAAGACTTGTAGACTGTTATTAGTAATATACTTTATGATATATTACTAGTAGAGTTAAGTTTGAGGAAAATTAACAATGATCTTAAAGCGGGCATCTGTAAACTTTTTAAGAGGCTAGATAGTAAGTATTTTAGACTTTTCACAGTTTCTATTTCATATTCTTAGTTATATTTGTGTTTTGTGGGGGATTTTTTGCAAGTTTTAAAAAATATAAAAACTAAGTTCATAAGCTATATGTGCAAACAAATCTGGTAGTCATATTTGGACTACAGGCTATAGTTTCATGACTCTTGATCTAACATCTCCACATACTGATAAACATTTATTTACTAGAAGGGAAACATATAACATAGAACATTGGTTTTTGGATTTTTTTGTAGCAAAGCTGTTTTTCAGATGAACTTATCAAGTATGAAGCAGTTCTAGAGCACAGCCACTGTGCTCTATCCTTGGAATGTATCCTAGGGCCTCCCAAAATACAGTTTAAATACCAGTAATACAGAGTGCTGAAGAACAATGGAAGTTTTTGTCTGTTACCATGGTGGCAGAATTGTGCATTAAGGAAAGGATTCTGTTTGTTGCATTTTCGGTGGCTTTTAAAATAGCAGGATCCTAAATATTTTAATTCTATTTTAGGGGCCTAGTTAATGAGGTGTAGTTGTTTGGATTATCTTTATTTTAAAAACATTTCTGGGTCTTCTGTCCATTGAATACTTTATCAAATCAGCAGTTATAAGGAATTCTAACTAACTATATTGTTCATGTAGTGTCTATAATAATAAATGCTATTAAATTAGTGTGCATGGATTAATCTTAACCAGACTGATAAGGCTCCAAGACCATTTGACCAAATAAACCAGAAACATGATGTTGCTTTTCTCTTATATTGATTTTATCATAGGGGCATGATGATGAAGTATTTGTTTTGGAAGCACATCCATTTGATCAAAGGATCATTCTTTCAGCGGGTCATGATGGGAACATTTTTATTTGGGACCTTGACCGAGGGACCAAAATTCGTAATTACTTTAACATGGTAAGGGAAGTTTGTGTTTAGTTCAAATTAAAATTAACATGTGATAGCTTGGTAATCACATTTTTACCTAGTAAAAATGAGGTAAAGGAACCTCTATTATCTGTGTTTAAATTAGTAAAATCATGTAGAGAATAACTTATATGAGAACCAAAATCATAAAAGATTAACGATTAATCCTGGTCTATGAATTACGGTAGTAACTGTAATACTTGCGTCTGACCCTGGGAAACCTCATATGACTTAATCAGAAGTTGTTTGAAAACACAAATTTGGACATATGGATGCTCTTAAAATATATTTAATACAAACCATGGAAAAATTTGGTGAGCTATCTGTTCTCCTAGTAGAACATACTCTTCTGTAGTGATGGGAATTCTCATATCCTCCATTTTTAATGTCCCTCTCTTAGAATAACTCTGAGTAAACATTTCTAAATCATTGGTTAGCCTTTGAACTTACTTTTATAGGCATTATACAGATCCAGAGCATTAATAATGTCTCTGTCTTTTGTTAGTAAAATTGATTTGTGTGCACTAATTTCACAATAATTATTTGAGGACTTAATTACATTGCCATTTAATATATGAAGATAATATTTGCTGAGATAGCATCTTTGTCAATTTGGTTACATTTGGTTCTTTTTTAAACTCCACAGTCACCCATTTGGTAATTCACGAAGTATGACATTGCTAGGAATGATTGATTTTATCCATTGCAATTTTACTCTACCTAATATTTGTCAGAGCTTTACTCTTTCAGTAGGGTTCTGGCTACAGAAGCCAGAGACTATATTGAAATAGTCATGTATCACAGAACCTGGGATATTAGCAAGAAGACATTATCACCTACCTAATATTTGAAAATTACTTTTAAGATAACATAAAGAGATTCTTCTGAATTTCAGATTGAAGGCCAAGGTCATGGTGCAGTGTTTGACTGTAAATTTTCACCAGATGGAAACCATTTTGCCTGTACAGATTCTCATGGGCATTTGCTACTTTTTGGTTTTGGATGCAGTAAATATTATGAAAAGGTTAGTAGATTTAATTTTTCTTGTAGATTTTAATTTGGTATTATATCATTCACAAATTTTGTTTGAGTTCTTTCAGTTAATAAGAAAATTATCTTTTTTGGTAAGTTTTTTATCCTTACCAGAGCATGAAGCTTAGCACTGGGAATCACTATTGAGACACAGGATGATGGAGATATAAAAGTTCATTAGGAAATCCTTTTACTGAGAAAATATTCTCTATTGCCTTTCAGGTATAATAAGAGAGTAATCGATCACATCTACTTAATCATAAATTTGGAATGAATAGCTAGTGACTGAATATGTTCATTTTCTTGGTTAGCTATTTTATTATTGATCCTGTTAAAATACTTTGGAAGCTACTTTAATTAGCTCTATATTTTAGCTGTGAATTTGGGATAGATTATAGAATCAGATTTGGAAGAAAATTCAGAAACATTGAGGGTAGCTCAACATTTGTATCACCTTTGAGTATCTTTGATGTGATTGATTATTTCCCTATCTCACCATGTATATTATAATTCATATATCCTCATTTAAATAAAAGTAAACCAGAATTTAGTTGTAGCTTTCATTTGAGAACTATATACTTTGCTAAGAAGAACATTGCATACAGCTATCATTTAATAAAAAAATTAAATAAATAACTAAAAATAAACAAGAACAACACAGATATATAGGTTTGTATGATTTCTGCAATTTAAGTATAAATACCTAATTTTATTTGCTGGTTTATTGCTCTACTTTTTCCTATCATACTTACAGAAGGGTGATAACAGGACCAAAAAGTAATACAGATTATAGGATTTTGTGGAGAAATGATAGAGTGACTTGCTAGGTAATTAATTGGCTTCTACCTAGAAGATATATTCAACAACAAAGGACTACAAGGGAATGCAAAAATTAACTGATTTGAAAAACACTTGTGCTCTAGGAATAAAAGTAAGTGCTCATCTATAAATTTCTTGTGTATATTAAATACTAAAAATTTGTCATGAAGATTCCAGATCAGATGTTCTTCCACACGGATTATCGACCTCTTATCCGTGATGCCAATAACTATGTGTTGGATGAACAAACCCAACAAGCTCCTCACCTCATGCCTCCCCCATTTTTGGTGGATGTAGATGGAAATCCTCATCCTACAAAATTCCAGCGCCTTGTTCCAGGACGGGAAAATTGTAAAGATGAGCAACTTATACCACAGCTAGGATATGTAGCTAATGGTATGTTATCGCTCCAAAAATAAATGTAAAACATTTTCCAAAATGTTATACTTACTGCTGTTCTGTGATGTATACACTTTGTTAAATTTTGGAGTCAGTTATAAGAAGATTATTTTACCTACTAATTCTATTACTTTTCAGTTGTATACAACTTCTTTACTTTACCAGAGTACATTTTCATTCTTTATCTCCCCTGGATAAGTGGGTTAGAATAAATACAAGCAGATAAGATCTCCTTAGAAACCTTTAAATTGAATACCATGTTTCCCCCCAAATAAGACACTGTCTTATATTTATTTTTTTCTCAAGAAGACACACTAGGGCTTATTTTCAGGAGATGTCTTATTTCTGTTAAGTATAATACAATAATCTACATTTATTCAAATACGGTTAAGTCATCTTCTTCTGGAACCTGACCAGGGAGCCAACCTCGTTGGTGAGGCTGGCGCTAGTGATGTTTGAACTCCTATCCCCTAGCCATTTGCATGTGCGCAATAGGATGCCTGCGACTACAGTTACCACAGAACGCGCAAGTGCCAACGGCCTGGAGAAAGGAGCTGTGACAGATAAAAGGTATTCCAGTTTTCCTTACCACTCCACGCTGAAGTGCATGGCATGGCTGTGGAGATAGCTGCATAGCCATGCCCATCATTAGGTCTTATTATTGGGGTAGGGCTTATATTTAACAAATGCATAGAAATCCTGCTAGGACTTATTTTTTGGGTAGGTCTTATTTTCAGGGAAACATGGTAGTATTTATTGACTTTTAATAATGATTAAATGTATTAACTTTAATGTGCCAAAGTTGGCGAAATTCCATTGGTCATACAGTATTGGTATGTTAGTTTGAGAGTCCATAGTTAATGGAACTTAGATGAGGAAATTTCAAAAAGCATTAACTACAAAGCAGCTCTTTACCTATCTTCATGTTTAAAATACAAATAATTATTGGGACTTTGGTGGATATGAATATTTACATAACCCTAAATCTTGGAGACATTGGAGAAGCAAAGGTGAATGTGATGCATGTTGAGAGAATAGTAGAATAACGCTTTAGAATAGATTATTCTCTATTACAGCAACTTGGTCTTATCTTGTTAGCATATTTCCACTCTATATACTTGCCCTCTCTACTTCATACCCCCACATACAATGCCTTTGTATCTTAGTTTGGTACATGTAGGTTTTTTTCAGGTATAAGATAGCAAGTTACTGAATGATAAATGGAATTTTATCTCTTAATTAGTAAATTAAGGCTTGAATTGACCTTTATAGAATGAAATGCTACATATAACTTTTATGCTTTTGGTCATATATATTTGTAGAGGAATGGTATTTTATATGTGCCAATAGTTATTTTGGTGATATCATATTCATTAACCAAGGAGGAAAGGTTTGACTATTAAGTGGGAGATAAAATTGAAAACATCTGAATAAAAAAAATCTTATCACATTTCATTTCTTGTACATTTTTTAAAAGGTGATTATTTGCTTACTCTGTCAGATGCTATTTAATGTGACTAGAGGATAAGATGAAAACAAGGGCTAAGCTGGGTATGGTAGCTTATGCCTGTAAACTTTGCACTCTGAGAGGCCAAGGAGGATGGATTGCCTGAGCTCACAGGTTCAAGACCAGCCTGAGCCAGAGAGAGACCCCATCTCTAAAATAAATAAATAAATAAAATAGCCAGGAGTTGTGGGCACCTGTAGTTTCAGCTACTTGGGAGGCTGAGGCAAGATAATCATTTGAACCCAAGAATTTGAGGTTGCTGTGAGCTCTGATATTGCCATGACACTCTACCAAGGGTGACAAAACGAGACTCTTGTCTCAAAAAAAAAGAAAAGAAAACCAGGGCTATGATATATTTATGAAAGAAAAAAAATTAAAATTTTTATTCAGAAGTAACATTGAATTTCAGTATATCATAAAAATTATTTTCTACTTGTTAAAAAACTGAGCTGTTAACAAAGGAGAATATTTAAAGGATCATAATTTTGATTTATTTTGGAAAGGAAATCTTCACAAAAGAAAGATGCAAACTGTTTTAGGTACCTGTGGTTAAATGTGTTTAAACCTTACTCAAATCTCTGTTCTTGACTTTTAACTTAAAATATACCATGAAGAAAATTTATTTTAAAATACTTAATTTTAATAATTACAATCAGATTTTGCTTAATGATAAGGATACATCTTTATCATTTTATACTATTAAAGCCATAGTTTTTTTTGCTTGCAAATAAAATGGGAATGTTAATTTTTAGAAACATAAATGAGATAAGATTCCCGAGGGTATATGAGTGTATGTGCATGCACTGGCATGCATACATGTTGTGTATACTTCTAAATAGGATAAAACTTAGGACTTTCACCTGCAGACATGCATTGCTTAATGAAAGGTATGTGTTCTGAGAAATGTGTCAATAGGTGATTTCATCATTGTACAAACGTTACCGAATGTGCTTACACAAACTCGAATGGTATAACCTACTACACACCTAGGCTATCTGGTATAACTTGTACCTCCTAGACTACAAACCTATACAGGATATTATTGTACTGAGTACTATAGACAATTGTAACAGTGATATCTGTGTGTGTGAATATATCTAAACATGGAAAAGGTACAGTAAAAATATGACATACAAGATAAAAAGTAGTATACTTACCATGAATGGAGCTTGGAGGACTAGAATATGTTGTGGGTGAGGCAGTAAATGGTGAATAGTGTACAGTAACGTAGAGTTTACTGTAGACTAGAGTTTATAACTATTATATACTTAGGATATACTAAATTTATATTTTTCTCCAATAATGAATTTAATGTAACTTTTTTACTTTATAAACATTTTAATTTTTCTTTTACTTTTGTAATGACTAACTCTGAGCTTAAAACACAGTTTGTGAAGCTGAGCAAAAAAATTTATTTCTTTATATCCTTATTCTGTAAGCTTTTTTTCTATTTTAAAAGTTTTTCATTTTATACTTTTTAAAGTAAATTCATCACCTCTATATTTATTTCTTTTTATTTTTTAAATATGGGTAAATAATAGTTGTATATCTTTTAATCATTATAGGGTACATGTGATGTTTTGATACATCATACAATGAAATTAATCAAATCAGAGTAATAGTGGTATTCAACACATCAGGCATTTATCTTTTTCTTTGTGTTAGAAACATTACAATTCCACTCTTTTCATTATTTTAAAGTATACCCTAAATTATTGTTTATAGTTACTTTGTTTTATCAACTATTTTATATTCTACCTAATTATATAACTATATTTTTGGACCTATTGTCCATTTCCATCCAGATTTATACGCTCCCTCCTCCCTGCAACCCTTCCTAGCTTCGGGTAACTGTCATTCTGCTTTTTGTCTCTATGAGATCAATTGTCTTTAATAGCTCCCACATATGAGAGAATGTGTAATATTTGTCTTACTGTGCTTGGCTTATTTCATTTAATATAATGTTCTCCACCTCCATCCATGTCATTGTAAATGACAGGACTTCATTATTTTTGTGGATATATAAATAGGATATTCCATTATGTTTATTTACCATTATTTCTTTATCCATTCATATGTTAATGGTTACTTAGGTTGATTCCAAATCTTGGCTATTGTTAATAGTGCTGGAATAGATACAGGAATGGAGACGCCTTTTCAACATACTAATTTCTCCTCCTTTAAATATTGTTGACTGAATACCCAATAGTGAGATTGCTGAGTCATGTGGTAGTTCTATTTTCAGTTTTGTGGAGGAGCCTCTATACTGTACTCCATAGTTGTTGCAATAATTTACATTTCCAGCAACAGTATACAAGGGTTCCCCCTTTTCCATATCCTCATCAGCATTCGTTATTGCCTGTCTTTTTGATAAAAGCCAACTTGGGTGAGATGATATCTCATTATAATTTTTATTTGCATTTCTGTGAAGATTAATGATGCTGAACACATTTGTATATACTTGCTGGCTATTTTTATTTCTTCTTTTGAGAAATGTCTATTTGATATCCTTTGCCTGTTTTTTAATCAGATTATTTGATTATTTGATTTTTCCCCTATCAAGTTATTGGATCTCTTTATATCTTCTATTTATTAATCCCTTGTTAGATGAATAGTTTGCAAGAATTTTCTCCATTCTGTAGATTCTCTCTTCCCTTTTGTTGATTGTTTTCTTTGCCATGCAGAAGCTTTTTAGCTTGATGTCATCCTATTTGTCCAATTTTATTTGATTCATATGCTTTGGGGTTATTACTCAAAAAAATTATGGCCTAGACCAATGACCTAAAGCCTTTGGCAGATGTTTTATTTTAGTAGTTTCCTAGATTCAGGTCATAAATTTAAGTCTTCAATCTGTTTTGATTGTGCTTTTGTGTATGGAGAGAGATAAGAATCTAGTTTCATTCTTTTGCATATGGATATGTAGTTTTCCCAACATCTTGTATGAAGAGACTGTGTATGTTCTTGGCACCTTTGTTTATAAGTTATATATGTATACATACATATATGTAATTTATATTATATATGTGCATATATATTATATGCATATTACACGTGTGTGTGTGTGTATATATATATGTATATATATGGATTTATTTCTGGGTTCTGTATTCTATTCCAGTGGTCTATGTGTCTGTTTTTATTCCAGTACCATGATGTTTAGGTTATTAGAACTCCCTGTAGTATAATTTGAATTCAGGCAATGTGATTCCTCCAGTTTTGTTCTTTTTGCTCAGGATGGATCTTCTGGGTCTTTTTGTGGTTCTGTATAATTTTTGGGTTTGTTTTCCATTTCTCCTATTTGATGAGCATTGTATTGAATCTATGGATTGCTTTGGGTAGTATGGATATATTAACAGTATTTATTTTTTCCAATTATATTTTAACATTAATTCCTCTAGCTCCATTTATTTGTGTCCTCTTCAATCTCTCTCATCAATGTTTTAAAGTTTGCGTTATAGAAATTTTTCACTTCTTTAGTCAAATTTAATCCTAGATATTTTGTTTTATTCATAGCTAATGTAACTGGTATTATTTTCTTAGTTATTTTTCAGATTGTCTGTTGTTGGCATATAGAAACATAGCTGATTTTTTAATGTTGATTTTGTATCCTAAAATTTTACTGCATTTGTTTATCAATTCTAGTGGGTTTTTTTGTGGAGTCTTTAGGTTTCTCTCTATAAGATCACACAGTTTATAAACAAGGATAATTTAACTTTTTTCTTTCCAATTTGGATGCCTTTTAATTTTTTCTTTTGTCTGGTTGTTCTAGCTAGAATTTTAGTACTTTGTTGAATAACAGTGGTGAAAACGGGCATCCTTGTCTTGTTCCAGATCTTACAGGAAAGGCTTTCAGTTTTCCCCCATTCAGTATGATACTTGCTGTGAGTCTGTCTTATATGGCTTTTATTTTGTTGAGGTAAGGTCCTTCTATACCCGATTTTTTAAGAATTTTATCAGAAAGATTTTGACTTTTATCCAGTGCTTTTTTAGCATCAATTGAAGTGATAATATCACATTTGTATTTTGTTCTGTTGATAGAATATATCCCATCGATTAATTTGTATATGTTGAACCATCCTTCTATCCCTGGGATGAATCCCACTTGATCATGGTGAATGATCTTTTTTACGTGTAAAACTAGGGAACACCACACATGTTATCCTAGGCCTATATAGGGTCGAGATCATTAATATCACTCTTATGCCTCCACATCTTGTACAACTAGACGATCATTAGGGCAGTAATAAGCATGGAGCTATCAGCTCCTTTGATGACAATATTATCTTCTGAAACACCTTCTTAAAGACTTGCCTGAGGCTGTTTCATAGTTAACTTTTTTTAAATAGGTAGGAGTGCATGATAAAATAATAATAAAAAATATAGTATGGTAAATACATAAACCAGAAACATTATTATCATTATCAAATTTTATGTAGTATAAATAATTGTTATAAGCTATACTTTTATGCAACTGTCAGTGTAGTAGTTTTGTTTATACCAGCATCACTACAAACTTAGGAGTAATGCATAGCATTACAACATTACCATGGCTTTGACATTACTAGGCAAGAGGAATTTTTCAGCTTTATTCTAATTTTATGGGACCATTTTCATATGTGAGGTCTGTTGTTGACTGAAATGTTTTTCTGTAACACCTGACTATTCTTTATGATGATAAGGCCTTTATAATAATGTGTAATTTGAGAACTTTGGTTAAATCGAACATAAGCTAATATGTCAAACATTGTAAATGTTTCAATAAAATTTTTATTTGACGTACTTAATTTTTATTTTAATCTTGTTTTAAATCATTTGTCTGGAAATTTATAGATTAGTTACTACATTTATAGGATACACTAAAGTGTAAGTGATTTTGTGACTTTTTATCTTTGGTCTCATTAAGGTGATGGCGAGGTGGTAGAACAGGTAATTGGGCAGCAAACTAATGACCAAGATGAGAGCATTCTTGATGGAATAATCAGAGAGCTACAGAGAGAACAAGATATGAGATTAATTAATGAAGGAGATATTCCACATTTTCCAATTAATAGATCATACTCTGTTAATGGTGGTAAGTAGTTTTATATTTGTAAAGAGTATATAAAATGTACTTCAGTTATTTTACTTGTATGAAGTAATTTGCATGTGAAAAAATGTTTTATGTTTAAAAATTGACACATTTTTATTAATTTACAATTGCAATATCAGGTATACCAAAGTTTCTTAATCTCATTGTCATCTGTGGCTAAAATAATACCTCCTAGGAAATAATGATGGTGTATTTTAATAAGCCATTTTTTCTTACTCAATAATTGACTTGTGGTATTTACATTTTTTTAAGAAGTAAAATGTTGAAATAAGTCTAGCCTTTCTATAGGGGAATCAACCTATAAGGTTTTCAAAATAAAAAACACCTTAAGTTTAGAAATTACTACCAAAAGAAATTTACTGTCCTTTGTTGAGAGAAAGTAGATACTACTCCCTCTCTTGAATTTATAAAACTAATCTGGAAGACAAGAGGTCTCTGAAGATAGGAAATCTTCTTAGGGAATACAGGTGCCACCACAGTTTGATCTTACTACCAGTAGAATGAGATAGGTTCTGTATGTTTGTTCTTAAGTTGAATTTCTATGTAAGTTGGAATAGGTGCATTTACCTTTTACCTGTAAAAGCCTCCATTTATAAGTGTGAACCATACTTCAGTCAGATGTTTGTAACTTGGGAACTTACCGTAATAGCCTGTGTTCCTAAGTGCAAGTTGTACTTAACCATCTCAGATGTCTATAACTCAGGGATTGCCTATATTGTATAATTAATTATTTTATCTTAAAATTAATATTCTTAATTGTATCTTTTCTTTTACTTTATACGAAATGTACCTATGCATCTGAGTTTTATATAAATCTTAGCTTATATCAATTTTAATTTTATTAAAAGCTATTAATTTTATTTTTTCTTTTTTGAGACAGAGTCTTACTCTGTCGCTCTGAGAGGACCATGGCATCATCATATCTCACAGCAACCTCAGACTCTTGGGTTCAAAGAGATCCTTTTGGCTCATCCTCCCAAGTATGTGGAAGTACAGCCTGCCACAATGCCCAGCTGGCTTTTCTATTTTTAGTAGAGACAGGGTCTCACTCTTGCTCTGGCTAATCTCACATTCCAGAGCTCAAGCACCACCTTGGCCACCCAGAATGCTAGGATTACAAGTGTGAGTCACCATACTTGGCCTGTTAATTTTATTTTAAAACATAGTCTTCTTATGAGAATTTTGGCCGATTTCTTCCTTTTTATATTTACAAAATTGAGGTCATTTATTTGGTAACATAGCAATTTGGAGTCCACATAAATGAATGAAATGATTTAAATTTGTGGTGATTCACTGGGTATTTTACTGAATTATTGATTTCTTAAGTATCCCCTAAATTTTTTTTAAATGGTTTTAAAAAACCATTTATAACCATTTGCATTTGGGTCACTTGAACACCTAACTCATATAAGCTTTCCTGAACCTAGGATACAAGGAAAAGTGATCTGATAATCCTAGTATCCTGGCCCTTTGTTTCAATGCCCTAAAACTTTTGTAGAATACCGATTTACATATCTGTTAATGTAGCCAATGTTCAGCTTTACCTACAATACTAGATTTTTATGAGCAGATTTGAAATGCCATTGGTCAGAGACTCCACTGACTTCTTTTTTTAATGTTCGTTTTTAAATTTTTTTTATAATCAATTTAAAAGTAGAAGTATTTTAGTTTCTATGGGGAGAGGAGGGGGGAGGGTGGGTGGAGGGAGGGTGATTGGTGATTGGTGG